CGTAGAAGTACAAGCTAAGGAAGAGAATCAGGCGCCAACCAGAAACCCAGATCTCGCGCCTACAGCGTGCTTTTCGACAGCTCCCGGAGTCATCCGAAGAGGCAGAAGGGCTAGCAGGCCTAGTGTACACATCAAGTCTTGTAACGAAAGAAGAGGGAGCCAAAGCACACTACAATTGGGCTAGCACGATCTCTCCCTCTAACATATGCGCCTACTCTGATGGGCCATCTGAAGGCCATGGACGATCCTCGTGGGGATATGTCCTCCAACGCGGAGGACAAACATTCCCACAAGGTCACGGTCGTCTACATGGCGATGAAGTTTATGATGCAGAAATTGCAGGAGCAGTAGTAGCACTTTGGGAAGCTATGCGCGCTCGAAAGAACCGTGCGAGAATCTTCATTCTTCTTGACAATCAGGCAGCTGTACTTGCGCTTCGGACGGGGAAGTCATCATCGTCGCTGCAGATAACCCGCGTCTTTCACAAGTTCGCTTCAGAAGCGAACGTGACAGTGAGTTGGGTGCCTGGACACTCTAAAATTAGTGGCAACGAAGAAGCGGACGTAGAAGCCCAAGCCGGTCTTCAGCTGCTGCTAGTGCAGACAACGCAGGCATACATACGCCGTTTGATGCACAATTGCCGACAGAAAATAGTGGAAGACTGGTGGAATAATTCGGGTTCGGACAGATATCGAGACCTGAACTTACAGATGCGACGTCGGAAACCACCAGAACTAGGTCTTTCTCGACGATCAATCCATAAGCTCCTGGCAGCAAGATCAGGACACGGAGACTTTACGGATTATCACCGCCGCCTGAACCACGAAGACGCGAAACTTGAATGCGTCTGTGGACAAAGGACGACGCCAACTCATTTTTTCCGATGCAGGAAGAATGCTGCTATAATACGCAGATTGAGAAGATCCATGACCGTGGAGGACTATACCAACCAACTCCTTGGACCAGAGGGTCTCGAGAAGTTCATAGAATTTGCAAGGAATACCGGCTGCTTTGGGAGCATGGATGCAGACCCGCCCTCAGCTGGATACGAGGGCCGAAGTGTTTATTTTTTCAGGACGAAAGAAATGACTGAGGGGGGCATAGGATGAGAAATACTAGCACCGCTCCTACATGTTAATTTGCTTTATTTCAGTCGGGTTTGTTTGCAATTTCTTTTGGTTTTTGGTTGTTTGTAATCAGAGTCACATAGAGACAGTGTGGTGGGAACGAGTAGGGCATAGCTATTTAGGATAATCCATACCGAGCCCACCAGTCCCGTGCCATAAGGCGCTGGGCTAGTGCCTGGGACCTCAAAATAAATCATTCAATCATGTACGTCGTGTCCTCTAAGAATCTGGGAGCCAAACATTCACCCCTTACCAAGTTCAGCTAAATTTTACGACGCCAAAGAAGTTGACCAACGAGGCAATGATTCAAATTACTCCTCCACATCTATTTTCAACTCCCAACGATATGGACTGCTATCTAAGTCTCATCAAGTCTACAAGTACGACGTAGTACATCCGCATTCCAATGAACATACCTCTCACGAATTTTCTTTGGCCTCAGGTCGTCACCAAATACACGACCACGCCGATATATAAACCCGCCGGAAGAAACAAAGCGTGGTACACAATTCTGGGAAACAATTCTTTGGGATGGACTTGGGAAAGATCAGGACAAGTTCATAAGATGATGCAGAAGATGGACACTGGCATGAAATATTGAAAATTGGCCAGGAGTTCTGCAAATTGAGCTTTGTGCGCGCCAAAACTTCGCTCGCGAGACCGCAGCTGACACAATACACAAGTCAACGATGGAAGGTGTTGTGGTCTGCCTCCTTGTAGTGTTCTCCGGTAAAGTTTAAGTAACCTAGCCACCTACTCCACTTTAGAAGGAGACGCCTCAGTCCACATTTCTCGCGGAGACAATTCAGTGGATGATAGAGGCATGTTTGGATAACTTAGGGTTTATGGAAGGTTTCTTGGAGTGAGTATTCACGGATGAGTGTTGACTTGGGGTGAAATAAAAGTCGCCAGAAATTAGCAGTGATACATAAAAATGATTCTGAGGCATGAGCACTCTTCTTGTACATAAAATCATCTTTTCGGTACTTTTTCTACGATAATGGGTCACAGCTGATAGGTGCATACGGAATTAAAACCTGATGCAAATAAAAAAACTGGACCACCTCAGACTTAACCTATATGTTAAAAATGTCAAGTACGACCATCTTGAGAACCCGATTTTAAAATGCCAGAGCGAATTTCCTTGTCGACTTGGCCAGCTTGCGCCCTATCCCTTGATACCCTCCCAATGTCCAATTCTTCCTTCCCGTTCAGTCCTAGACATACGTGCCGCGCGGGTTTATTCTCAACACCTGTCAGTGGTCTCCCCTACGAACCTCCAGCTCTCACTGTAGAGTCTGTAGAGCCGAGATTGAATAATAAAAATTCTCACTTCGATGAGGACTTCCATCCACTTTCGCAGTCTGTGTCGTCTTCATCTCTCAACACATACCCCTTTCACCATTATCATGAAGCTGACCAGGATCAGATCAGATGGTAGGGTCGGAGCCCTACTCCTCGCCTGGCTGGGGCTGCAGGTTTTTTAGACCTTTTCCGGCGCACGCAGTATCCAAGGCTACCATTTTATTTTTTTGGGTAGAAGGTTCCGTGGAAAAGGTGGCCGAATTCCACGGGTAAACACTAAGCTGAATGGCTATTCATCACGGGCAACATATCAATGATCTTTCAAATAATAGAAGAGGCAAGGAGCACTATACAAAGTATGGCCGGATTCAGAGAGGAGCCCAATGTGCTAGACAGTCACAGACTCAAGTAGTAAACTAAACATATCTCTCACTCTCTCTCTCATATTCGTCCCAGCATATCATCTCAACCCTAATTTTATTCTCATAGAATCATCCAATTACCTTCCGTTGTTTTCACGGATCCGTAATTAGAATTTTAATAATAATTTTAATTCGTGATAAGATGAAGGGGTAGTTAATTAAAGACATCAATTTAATAATAGCTTCCCCTATACAATTAGTCGTGTAAAAAGTCATGTAAGGATATGCAAGAGAGTCATGAAGAGAAGGACAAGAACACAGCCATTAATGCGAAGATATTGGCAAGAATTGATTACGATTAATTCCGGTTGGCAAAGGCTTCTACTCTTGTATATAATAGTTCGGCGTGAGAGAGATTTACTCCTGACGCAATGTCTTCTTTATTTACCCTTTACAATACATTTGTTTACCCATCTCTTCTTCGGGAAGACCATTTATCCATTGCTCAGTTCTTCATCAGCAAGACCCACGTGTAACACCTACTGCAACTAGTTGCCCATTCATCTCTTCCTAGAGAAGACCTGTCATTCCTTTGACCCATTTAGAACCTTCAATTACCACCTAGATCTTTACTAGGCTATACAACGCACCCCGTGGAACACTATCAAACCCTCATCCCCGAGAGTTGTCTACGCGGCACTACCTTTATTCCCCCATTGAAACTTCTCCTCAATCTTTCAGTTGTTAACGCAATCTCAGAACCTTTGAAGACTTTCCGTCACTCCGAAATTGCCTCCTCGCTGCTGTATCTTTCACCTTGCGTACCGTATATAGATCGTAGTGCTCAACACCGACGCGCAGATATCTTGACCGTTCTCGAATGATCTGGTTGATACACAAGTGAAATGCTGCATATATTTCGACAGTGGCGGTTACATCCATGCCCAGTTTCTGGTGCCCTTGGCCGGAGTTGGTGAAATATAAGGCCGATACTTCGATTGTAACTTCACAGCGCACAACAGTTGCGAGAGGATGAATTCTATTTGAATCTTAGATGTCAAGTATGACTTTCAGATTTTGGATTTCTTCCGTAGATGGTTTGATGATTGTGGAGTATTAAAATGGATTGTCTGAGGTACATTTGAGATATTGAAGAGTTTCCGTCGTTATAACACTAACTTTCGACAGGTTTAATCTTATCTGCTGTTTCTATTTGAGGTTCAAATATTTCCATTCGCTGAGAGGTGCGATTGCAAGTTCTCTCCCAGTCTAGTTTTCGACTAATACCATCAACGAACTATTGGTGTCTTATATTTCAATTTGATCTGATTACCTGCACGAGGATAGAATGACTCATTTCTGATGCAACTTGTAAAATCAAACAAGATATCAAGAGAGTGGTTTGCCGAACTATCTGTTGTAATTCTAACAGTCCTGCATCTGTTACACTAGTCATGTAATATCTCGTTTTCGTTTCCGTTATTTGTATCATTTAATACTGCGCCACATCTATTTTCTGTAATATTAATTAGTCTTGGCGCTTAACACAAGATATGTTGGAATTTATGGTATATGCATGATTCTGTCTTACACTCAGCTAGCTTGGGGGTCTACTGGTGGTCAAGACATACCATCACCATGATAATGTCGCCATACTGGGACATGGGCGCATATCCTGGCTTATTTCTAAATTCGTCTCAGTAGGACTAATTCCTGTATATGTATGTAGTGTTCTTTTCCTTCAGAAATACTCAGTTCATTACATTAACTGAATATCTCTGAAGGTAAGACCTCTTATAGTAGTTCCTCTTATAGTAGTTATTCTAATTTAAGTTCATTACATTCGCTGAATATCTCTGAAGATCTATTCATACCCTCTTCGTGTCACCCTACCAAGCTTCACCCTTAAGCTCTATTCAACTGCTTCGTTGTTCGGCATACATCCTTCACCTCCCTATACCATTCCAGCACTCCTTTACGATCCATAACCTCGTAATACTATCAGCCATCAAGAGTAAGTCTTCATGTTTGTTTGATTAGTTTATCGGCAGAATGATTACGTTATGTTACATTTTCAAATGAAATAATATTTCATTGCCTACAACTCCATGTACTTAGTATAATTATATTGTCCTCTTTGCCGCTTCCTTCTCTCGGGCAGATCGACAGCCGAGATCTTCCTTGTCTTCGTTGCCTTTATTTTTTTTCAAGAATTCTTCTGAAGTAAATAATATTGGGCAGCAAATGTATAATTAACGTGGACAAGTATCATGGAAATTCGAGAATTTTCTTGCCAACAATCTCATCAATAGTTTCGTTGATTGCATTTGTGATCGGATCGTACAAGTCGTCGGAACTTTCGTCGATGCCAAACTGGTCGATACTCTGTCCAAATAATATTTTGCGCAAGTTTTTGGCAAGTTTCTTGACACCATCAAAGGCTGGTGAGAAATAACTAATTATCTTTGCATCAAAATTTTGAATAATATCAGATTGCTTCGACTCGTAGTTGGACCTTGCAGACTCAGTGAACCATTTTTCCAAGTGTGCCGGTTGACTCTTGGAATCACGACCATAACACATGGATCCCACGATCAAGACGTAGAAAAACGATTCCAGATCATGCCGATAGTTCTGCGGAAGCGTGAATTTATTTTCACTGATATTCCACAGAAGCTCCAGCGCCATGTACCTCATGGTTCCGGTGATCGCAAACACTTCGTCCATTTTTCTACTGCTCTCGATCAGCGATGACATATCTAGATCAATCAGTATTCCTTCCGTGGCCCCCTCTTCGTTGGGACGACTCAGAATTATGTTGCCTTCCGAGACATCAGCGTGAAGAAGCCTCGCCAGGTCACGAAGCCGTCGATGCGCGAGGATGGCATCTCGGATACCCACAAGGAATTCTCGAGCAGATCTACAGGACTGGAGGGGTAGTCCGAGTAGTGAGAGTTTGGCGACAGTTAGCTCGCGTTTGGTGTAATATTCTATGCGGTCCAACGATGCCGAGTTTAATCCAGTGGTCAGAATGCATCCCCAAACTGTCATATCCCATCGTTATCCGCTCGAGAAGTCAATATCCTTGCGATGCGTCTCAATCTTGTACAGGTCGCCGGATCTCTCAAAATTGATGACACCATGTATTCCCTTGGCTAGTCTCAACGCATCGATCTCGCTTCATTTGGTGCCGCTACCCCAGTTAAACTTGATCAGATGTTCGCCATCGGTTGTCTGATAACAAGTATTTCCTCGCGAATAAATCGTAAAGGGACGGGCTTCAGGCTCTGGCACGACCTCAATTTGTTCCCCAGGATTATCGCCGTCTGTGATGGTAATGTAGGCGTACTACCCTACATACCTAACACATGTGTCGAGCCCAAGCTCTTCGTCGCTGATCAGCATGTACGAATAGAGGGCTCGGACCAGTTTTTCTTGACTCTCGATAATTTTAATTTCGCCTGAGCTGTACCCGCCCGACCGATCGACAACCCAAAGCTCCAAGTGATTCTTGTGGAGGCAGAATCCGTGCACGAAACGACGCAGCGACTGCGCGTAGAACATCTCGCGCACGTATCTCATCAACCGGTGTGCCTTCTCACCCTTCTGTTCCGGAGAACAAGTAAACTCACCCAGAATCCTGACTTCTCCCTATTCATGAATGTCTCTCTCAGGTAACACGACATTTTCAATGAAAAAGTCAAGCTTTCGTGACGTCAGACCTCCCTTGAGTTGCGTCGGGATTGTGGTGTAAGAAAATCTCCCTCGCACCGTCGGATAGTTTGGCGACCTTACGACCACTGGCTCACCGCTGATCGGCTCCTCCGCATCTTCAGGAATTGGCCGAGGTAATGGTCATGTAGAGCGTAGAACCAGCGTCGCATGGCTGCTTCGTCCATTTGGTCAGAGAAAACGTTGTCTCCGCCACATTGTCCATTATCCCGAAAACTCTCCCAGATCCGCGTTGTGAGGGTTGAACAGGCGAAGCTCTCGAAATGAACTTCCCAGGAGTTGCCAACAGATTTATAGACATTTCCTGTCAACTCTACTTTTAGGTCCTCTGAAAGGGAGGCAGTTTTTTGTTGTAACCAGCTGTCTCTGCGACATTCCGCATCAAATTGACATTCGAACTCTTTTGTGGTCCGGCTGAAGTTTGAGGTTTTTCGAGTAAGAGAGTCGACTATCGAGATGACATTGGTCCAGATTTGACAGTCGCTAGCAAAGCCTTTGGCGGAGTTGATAAGAGGGTCGAAATGGGTAATGGAAACTTTGTGATGTTTTATCTTTGAGTATATCTCATGAAGCTGATCATCAATTGTTGAAATTGTCTGATTTGTCGCGAATTTAATGTTATATGCATATAAACTGACAAGTAGATCCAGGATCGCTTCATAATTGGTTTTTAATGTCTCTAATCTGAAAGTAATATTTACCGCTCGTTTACTTAGTATTAATGTTATCCTTCTCTCTGAATTCATCGAGTGTAGGAGTGAGAGGTTTTCGTGCGGTGTACTCAGGAGTTCGTTAAATTAGTCCATTCTGAGTATAGGTTGAGTAAATGTAACGATATCTATAATTGAAGATGACAGATAAATATTTGATATAAGAGGAAGAGTGGAGATGATAAAGATGATGCTGAGTATCTGGAGTGGAAACATTGAGCGATGGGATTGACCACTTTATAGTCGCAAAGGCTCCTGATGGATACTGATCACCGAGTGATCAAAGGAGATGTCTATTCCAATTACTAGTTCTGACGTTGTGACGGAGCTGAACTCCTTGCTTCGTACTAGTGTAGACGCAAACAAGTTCAGTTTATTTGTGTGACCAGGATGGTGGAGAAAAGATGGATTCCTCTCCTGTGAGGTCACTCATCAAAAGAGAGTTTGCTTTGTGTTACCATCTTTTCTCCTGACTCTTCTCCGATAAAGAGTTCCCAGATTTACCTCTGAGGCTTAGGTCGAAGACATCCATGATTAGAAGCAGCCAAGTGGCGGCGTAATTGTCAGCAACAGTCTGAAGGCTTATCTTAATGAGTTTAGGTTGGATCTACTAGTGGTTGTAGCTTCAATTCATTAAAGGCTTATTTCCACATGACTGCAGCTACCCGATGAAGGTGAATGAAAAAGGGGAATGACAGATATGCACACGTTCTGTCGCCTTCGGGCCATGGTGAATGCGCTTCCGTTCTACAAGATACCACATTCAGCCTCAAAAAAGAAAAGGAGACCCCGGCTAGTCACTGCCGTGTAATGGAGAATTTTGCAGACCAGGTATTTGTGATAAATTTAATATCCCTCAGGCTTGGTGGCCTTACCTACTTTAGATTATATACAATACTTACACTCGAAACGGTGATGATAGGCCCTAAGGCTTGAAATCATGGAACGTCCGTGTGCGCGGCGTCAGGCCGAAATGTAAGGATCTATCATCAAGTGATGGCGTTGTGGATCTTGAATTCCAAGTCCAAGCGAACCGCCGAGTTAAGGTTCCATAAAGAATGCATCCATGACACTCATTGGCCACAACCCGCGCGGCTAAGCACCTCACTCCTCCCCTACTGTATTCTGATAGTTTACTTCGCATCTATCATTGCTCGTTACATTATCTGGAGTATAGAGGATTTCATGTATTTAAGGAGGAGTTAGAATGTTGATAGAAATAAAAGTTTACACCTAGTCTCAATCTCTACACACATACAGATTGTCGTAGTCGGAGCCACGAGACATCCGTGAATTTCACAGTCAACATTTATCACCTTTTCCTTACTAACGTGCACAAGAAACCTCAGTGTTCGCAGGAAGAGCGCACATGATGAGCGCGTATAGAATCATGTAGGAACACGGTTGGAGGGAAACATTGGCAAAGGCGGTGCGGACAGAAACTAAAAGTAGAATGCTGTTTGTAGAAAGGAAGCCGAACATGAATAAGTGGTTTGTACACATGTAGGAAGAGAGTGCAGTTGACACTATAAAAACAAGCAAACGATGGAAGGTGCCGTGGTCCGCCTCCTGGTGGTGTTCTCTGGTATGGTCTGAGTAGCCTGGGCACTTACTCCACTTGGGATGGAGACATCTTAGGCCATATTTCGCGCGGAGAAAAGTTGATGGATGATGGAGGCATGTCTGGATAACTCAGGCTTTTTGAGACGTTCCCCGGGGAGGGTATTCACGGATGAGGGCTGACTTGGGGTGAAGAAAAAGCCACTCTAACTTCGCAGTGGTACCTGCAAAAGAAATCCGAGGCATCTTTGTTTGTTTTCTCTTTTTTTTTTTTTTTTTTTTTAAAATCATTGAGTTTATGCAGCCTAACTAGCTATGACACTATATACATATTTATCCTTCTGAACCCACACATCATCTCATACCACCATTTTATGCATATTACAATAGGAAGAAAATTCTTGACAAGTAAACTATATTTAATTAGTTGGTATATTTCTATCTTCCTCAGCCTTTCCCCAAGATAGGCAGCCAGTTGTTGAGAGATATTTTAGAAGCGAAGTTTTCGCCACATTTGTGTTGAAAATAATTAGAAGTGTAAATGGTAAAAGGTTTCTGAACTCTTTTCTCCTCTGTTTCTTGAAGAATGAACAGTAAAGTATTAAATGTTCAATTGTTTGAACATGTTTGTTTTCTCATAAACGTGCTAGGTGAAGTAACTACCGTGCAGTACAAATGCCTCGTCCCACCTAAACGACGGGAACCATGCCAAAATGCTTCTATGTGTTGAATCATGCCGAATTCAGCAGCCCAGAATTGAAAAACAAACCAAAAACTTTCCCGCGAAATCCCGCATTACAGAAGAAAAACTTCAACAATCTCTCTTCCATCGTTCCGCCTCAGCCACCACGCGCCTGAGCCTCGATTCCTATCCCTCTATTCCGAGGCATGAGTGCACTTCTTGTAAATTGAGTTATCTATTATACACTTCTCTGACATTGTGTCAAAGCTGAATAGCTGCATACGCAATTAAAATCTGATGCAAAAAAACATAACGTTACCTGATTTAAAAAGAAAAAAAAAACGTCCGGGGTATCATTTGATCTTGAGACAACTCGGCTAAGAATAAGCCCGCGCTAGCGATATGGCAAAACGCGCTTGATGGCGATAGGAGATATCGCGCGTAGAGACTGTCGTGTTAGAACATCTAAGATAAATTCATTTTTTGACACGTAATTGTGAGCAAAGACGCAAAGTCTCTTCCTAGTATTTACTTGAAGATTTAAATCAATTCAAATTGAATTGAATTTAACCTATCAGCATTAGCCCCACACCCAGGAGGCTTGACACGGTAGCGCGCTCTTGGAGGACTCACTGTTACTATTAATGCTGTCCTCATTTGGCCAGGAATGAACATGATTGAAATCAAAAATTTTAAAGAAAAATTTCGCTGCCATGAGCTGTCCTGAGCTTAACCAGGTGGTTAGTTTCAGTATTTAATGTCATATTGAGTTCTAGACTTTGTAAGGATATCTAGGTCTGATTTGTCTACATGTTATCGACTTTGTAATCTCGGATAATAGGCATAAAATAATTATGGATTGTTAGATGTCGATACGTGTAAATATACGTTGAGTATTGCAAAGAAAATATAAGTGTAGATGTAGATGAAAGATAATTGATTAAATTAAAAGGTGTGCTTCCTATAGAACCTGCCCGTCCTCACCTCCAGTCCTGGTCACTTAAAAACCATCTATCCAAGGTGATCTGATGTTTATTGTACTACTTGAGTTTATGACTGTCTAGCACATTGAG